TCAAGTAGTCATCGAGATTATCTTTATGATAACAAGTGTCGAGGCAATTGACAAGACGATAACTTATTACTTTATTATTGAATTTTATCATTGAATAGATCGAAATACCATCATGTAAAATAATATTTTTCACATCGATGAATTTTAATTTTTTTAAATCGGCGTCAAATTAATGGGATGATTAATTATTTGTTCTCATTTGTTAATCCGACGTAAAAGATATCCTAAGTTGTAATAGTGTCGATAAATTTGAGAAATATTTTAATCCTTTTACAATATTATCATTTATTTCTTTATAATTTATATAAAATAATGTGATTATTTAATTGATTGAAATTAATACAAGTTATTCGACCTGCGAATATTTCATCGATGAATTCTTACATTCGAGAAACAGATTTTATATTGAATATCGCAAGAGTATTTTGTAAAATAATTTCCAATGCTTTTAGCATGTAAATTCTTGCTATTAATTTTGAATATAAATGCTTATATCCCTCCTGTAACGAATATATGATTATTGAAAAATTTAACATTGTATATATTATTATATAATTAATAATTATGATTAATTTACCGTTAATATTTTAATTCTTCTATAATAAATACTAAACTTTTGACATAGTCGTGATAAAAACATGCATATAACTTGTGGACAGATTTGAAAATTGGGTTTATGCCTGATACTGTTTTCTATGGCTTGAGAATATCCAACTATAAAGTTATAAATGAGTTCCCATTCATCCTACAAAATATACAGTTTTAAAATTCTAGTAATATTAAAATATAATTATTGTAAATATCAATGTTTTACCTCATCATCTAAAACAGAAAAATCTACAGCCTCGATATTTGTTAATTCTGGATATTCTCCGTTGGATATACCTTCATTATATTTTTCTATAATTGCAGCTATTCTAGCAGTATTGTATAATATGAAAGGTGCACCTGAAACAATATTTTTACTCGTAATAGTTTGTAACTTATATTCAAGCTACATTTATAATCATATAATTAATGAAAGACCTTTTGTATTGGTAAGACTTCTGTCTGTATTTGTATGAATATTAATGGAAACAGGACGACTTGGTTTAACAGCCAATAATTCAAAAGTGACAGTAGCCTCTGCCATATTTCGAAGAAAAGAATCCTCATTTGTATCTTGTTTGTTTGTTTCAAGATATTTTTGTTCGTTTAATTCCATTATTGTTTCAATTTTATTATATATATATTTGCTCCAAGTTAATGTTATTTCTTTGGTATTTGTTTCAGAATTTTTAACCACACCACACACATAATTTTTACTATCCTCAATCGTTTCTTTATGAGACTTACTGGTTAATACAACAGAATGAGGGCAAACTTTCTTACATATACTGTATCCTTGCAAATCCAAAATTCTTTCACTAATATCTTTTATTAATTGTAATCTCATGCTAGTTAATTCTGATTGTTCATCTGGAAGAAATGTTAGGCAAATATTTTCATTTATAGATGCGTTTCTTCCAAACGATGGTCCTTTTTGAATGACAGAATTTATAATAGTTTTCATAACAGATGGTCTTTCCAGAAATAGACAAATCCGTTCGTTTTGTAAAGTACATTTTGTTATCTTTAAATTCCAAGTATTACTAGCTAAAATGAGTGATTGAAAGACCTAAACACAATAATTACTATACTATTATTTAAACATGAAAAAAAAAATTTATTGAAATAGGTTATGTCGTACTTTAATATATATTTTATTTTCACTCCATTTTTTACCTTTTCATTAGTATTAATCTTTTCCACTTGTTCTAATTCAGTGTTTCCAGTGTGTGCACAATGTTGCAAAATATTGGTACAGTTTTCATTACAATCTAACTTATCAACTAAAATGGTCTTCCATAATTTGAGGCTAGGTAAAAAATACAAGTCTCCGTTTATAAACAACTTTTCATTATTAACTCTGATAATTGATTGATCTTTATACTCAAATCCCGTTAAATGAAAAAATATATGATCAATAAGTGTTGAAATAGAATTATTTGATATATTTTCCATGGGGAAGTAATTCTTGTTAAATGTCCGAGTTATTTTTTCCACAATTAAGGTTATGTTTTCCTTTTTTTGCTTGCTTGTTAAAAATCAAAGACATAAAGTTTACAAATGTTTAGTTTGAATAGCTTTTTTATTAGAGATATTAAGTTGATCATAAAAGATCTTTATGTCAAATATTACTACTAAGGTGTTTATTACTAGTTTATATATATATATATATATATATATATACACACACACACACACACACACATGTTTATGCACATATATACACGCGCGCGCACACACATACATATATATGTATATATATATATATATATATATATACATAGTGTTATATACATAAATGCCGGATTAATATATATATATATATGTGTATATAATATAATACAAATTGATCTCAGAAATGATATTTTATCTGAGCATAATTAAAATAATACAACAACAATAATACATCCATTAGTAAAACATTAACGACTAAAATTTGTTCATTTTATATTAGGTATCACATAGAATGATGATATTTGACATATGCTATTGCGGCAAGTCCCTTACAAAATTCTTCTGTAACTACAACACTTTCGAGCAATGTATTTTCCTTCTCCCTGTAATATCATCAAAATATTGTTGCCATTGCTTTTTATTATTTAAAAAAGTAAATTTAACTTAATACTTACACATCGTGGATACAGTCATCTAATAATCTCTCTCTTGTTTCTTTTAATTTTTGTTTAGATTCTGCGGTCTTTGGTATTTCATTAACTAGCTGCTTGATTACTTTCTGGAGACAAGTAAATAGACTTTTTGTGCCAGGCACTAGCGGTAGAAGAGGATTTAATAAAAATTCATGCAAGTATGGATGCGGTAAGAGTGTTAATCTAGATATTACAACTGTAAGTTGCAAGTTAATTTCATATCTTTGCTTAGACATATTGCAAACTTTATCGAAGAGCATAGTTAAAAAAGGTCCCATGTAAAACCGTGTAGCACCATGATCAGCTTCTGGTCTGGAATCAGAACTAGCAGAGTCGTCATGCGTTACTGCTTCCAAAGGCCATGCCATTAAAAAACAATCCCTTAATACAGTAGAATACTGTTTTTCCAGAACAACCATGCATCTTTCGTAACTATTGATATCAGGATCGGTTTGAAGATAGCGTGGTACCAACGATAAGAAGCTAAAGCAAAATTATTTTCTAATAAGGTATCAAAGTGCATATTGAAACATTCTAGAACAAAATTATTAGCCCTCACCAATTGACAATCCTATGAATATTACTCGGAGCCAAAGTTCTACTGTGACTTTGTTCATAAGAAAGATCTAATGTACTTTTCTTTTCTCTTTCTCTTTCATCTTCTTCATCGCTCCAGGATGTAATGGCACTGTCCGCGGCCGTATTATCGTAATATCCTCGACTAGTCAAATACATCAATGCAAGACAATGGAGGGTATGTTCATTTCTTTTATCTATAACTTCTTCGAACAATTTCAACGTTTCTACCGTCAGTTCGTCGCTATCCGTGTAACAATTATTTATTAATCTATACAAAACTGGTGAGGTACAAACGTTTGGAATTTCTGGATGCCTATTGTGTCCGACAAGCCAATAGCTCACCTCTAAGAATTTCCAAAATGTCCTTTTGTATTTTTTCTTTTTAGAAATAAATAATCATTTTATGTTACAAAGACGCATATATACCTGTAAACAATGTAGAGGATGCAAGCTCTTTCAAGCATTTAGTAATCAACGCAGTTACGAGAATAACTTGATGATCGGCTAAAGCAGGTGTAACTATTTTTTCGAAGAAATTTATTCTAATGTGCTTCGCCAATACATCAGCTACATCCGTAGACGCTTCTCTTATAAGCTGATTACAATAATCAAACCACATGTAAAAAGCTGCGACCTGTCGACAACCAGGGAACTTTTTTTCTTTCGTCCATAAAGGTGAATCCAAACCCCACGTCACGTCGACAACATCGATCTCATTTGGATCTACGTGAGCTGGTACAGCATTAAAAAGATTCTCTAAACGGTTAGTTATAATCATCGATAAATCGCTTTGTGCTACCATTTGAGCAAAGGTGATATCTTCGAGCGAAGCTAAGACCATTATACCTTCGCAGGCTCTCACTCTAACCGTGTTGTCCTAGAATGAAAGGAAAGAGAAAAAAAAAGAAAAAAAAAAAAAAAAAAAAAAAAAAAAAAAAAAAAAGAAAAAAAAAAGATCGTTAAAAGAAATCTCATTGTAAATAAAACAAAGTAAAGTGAAATAAACACGATTATTTACAGCACTGTTTACGTAGCTCATAAGAGCTTCCAATAAAAGGCATTTTGATTTCGCTGGTATTCGCGATGGTATCAAAAGACTTCGTCCGCAATTATTCTCTATTGGATTATTTGTCTTGTCACAGGTATTGCAATCCTCGGTAAGTCTCAAATCTTTCATACTTTGTAAACACGTTTCTATCTCGGTTACGGGATTGTCAAGTTCATCGCAAAGCTTATCCGTAATATTTGAATTGTTTTGTTTATCATCTGGCAGGTTCATAGTCAAAGTCGAATTACAACAGGCATTTTGTGTGAGCGGACTCGAGGATTGGGATATATTCTCCGTATCTTTGGAAGAAGTAGATGCGTTCGAACGTGTGGAAGTGTTAGGTGGTAGGTCAATCTTGATACAACTTATATTAGAACATAAAGACTTTCGTCTATTGTTTTCAGGATTCAATAAATTCGGATTTACCAATGCAATTGCCTGTGTATTCAATGGTTCGAACAAAGGATTAGAATTATTCTTTTTTCTATTTGGAACGTAAGTAACCTTCTCGACTTCCAATCTTTCTGAATTTGAACGATTCGAGCCATTTGGCTTTTGTAACATTGGTACGTCATTTATTATATTCGTCACGTGCGGATACTTGCAGACTAAGAAACAGAGTGTTAAGAGAAATTGAATCTCTTCGGTTTCAATTGGAGACGGCGTGTTTCCATTGCAGATTACGATTAGACGTTGTATAGGTGCATAGATTGAGGTGTGATGTAACAAAGGATATTTTGATCGACCAAGTAATTTTCTTAGAAATGAAAGACAAACCACTCTCATACCAGGTGGTGTCTCAGCTGTTGCCAATGAAGCTAACAGATCCAAAAGTTTGTGCTGTAATAAGTACTCCAAACATGGCCCAGGATCATTTCCATCTTTTTCCTCTTCCAATAAAATCTCAAGTAATCTATCGAGATGCCTGGGTATACTGGTCGTTTGTATCGGAACTTTACAATCGTTCAAATGATTTATATAAAAGTTCATAAGTTGTTTCCAGTGGTATGTGAAGTCTTGTAGCGGCGTGGCCGGTGGTGCTATCTTAAAATCAGACGTGATTGAAAGTTTAATAGTGTGAAACATTAGCCATATATATATATATATATATACACACATACGAAATACATATATATATGTACACATACGAAACTAGATGTTATACGCATACTATGTATATATATATATATATATCACATAGTTCAAGAAGATATACATGAGTACTAAATTACATAACGAGAAAATAGGAATCTACAATTTCAATGTCGCATTACGGTATTACGTTACAATCAATCGATACAAATAAGATATTTATAGATCAATATCATTAATAAAAATTATTAAATTCTTATTTGAAACTTATTAAACGATAAATTAAAATGAAAAGTTTATGATTTTATTTCTTAGGAAAAAAAAGAAAAAAAAAAGAAAAAATAGACGTATAAGAGAAATAAATATGACACGTGCGGCTATAGGGAATACAATCAGAGGCCGGCAGAGAGAAAGAGACCTTGAAGAGCGTATGCGCGATAAACTATGAAGGGACGATCGATGAATAATATTGTGAAGGTGGAAACATTTTCAATATTTTTCTTTTGCAAACGAACGTAAAGACATTTCGTTGTATTGTTAAAATATTTGGAGATAACGCAAAGGACATGGTCACATAGCGAGAGAAATAAAAGAAGAGAAAAGAAAAGAAATAAGAAGGAAACGATTATGACAATTATCAATTATCACTCACCACGTCTATAGCATTTTTTAAGGCGACGTGTATGCCGCTAATCATTGTTCTACTTTGCCGAGGATCTTGTCGGAATGTAGATCGATCGTATCAGAGGCGCTGCTGAACCAATACCAGCATTATTTTCTCGTGATCTCGCGAAACACAACATTCTCTATCGCTTGTCAAACCGCAATGTGTGCGTCTCTCTCTCTCTCTCCCTAATGTTTGCCCGTACGAGTACTCAACGAGTCTGTACTCTGAAGCTTTGACATACGTTAGTTCGACTTTTCGACGGTAGAGGTAGCGACGAGGTAACGTTAAGATAAAATACATATATATATATATACAAACAGATGATGTATAATATGCATATACTGTCAGACATCTATAAGAACGCTTTTAATACCGATGGAAAAAAAAATAAAGAACGATTAGCACGAATTAGTATATTTATTGACGTTAATTTTGATGTAAACACGTCGCGAAAATATTATCTTATTTATTCTTTCTAAGTCAAAGGAAGAGATATTTTTTTTTTTTTTTTTTTTTTTTTATTAAAATAACGAAAGCGTTATAATTTAAGATTTTTTTTATTTCGTAATGTCAAGTGTACAAGTCAACAACATCTAATATCGTTAAGTTAATTGTAAAAAAAAGAAAAAAAAAAGAAAAAAAAAAGAAAGAAAGAAACGTTTATTCTCGAGATCGAGGCGTCTTTTCTTATTTCCATGATGTATTACATACAACGGATGAGCCCGCGCGCTTCGAGTAATATTTTAAGAATGAAGTTGCCATTATTTTCAATTCTTTTATTTATTCATTTATTCATTTATTTTTTCATTTAATTTTTTTTTCTCATCGTCGGCAGTAATCGATTGCGTCTTGATCGAAACATTTAATTATACAATTAAATAAATTTCAATTGGTTTCATTCGAATATCTCGAAACGATCAAATATAATAATAAAAAATTACGTTTTTTTTATTTTTTTATTTTTTTTTTTTTTTATTTTCAGATATAATTACTTCGTCGCTACAATTTCTCAAACTATTATAAAGTTTTTAAAAGTGTATACGCTCATCGCGTACGACTTATGATTATTTATTCACGTAATTTAAACGTAATCTATAAAGTCTCACTCCTTCGTTTTATTCAAAAATAATTGAAAATGATCGATTTTTATATTCGATTGTTAAATACTCACCGACTTAAGCCTTCGTAAACGTCGTAGCATTGTATCTATATAGTCGAAGAAGAATGGAATGAGGATTGGAAGAACTAACGATGTTCGGTATAGAGAAATTGAAGGAAAGCAAGAAAAGGAAGATAAAAATAAAAATTTTAAATAAAATATATCTTCAACGATAACGACAGTCACTGAAAAGTACTGCTTTTATGTAAGTAAGTCATTTTGTTATATTCGATCTTATCACTGTCTATTCTATTACGTCTTATCGTACCAACGATAAGAACGTACGATGAATACAGTATACCAAACCAAATTTATGGTTTTTTTTTCTCTCTTCTTTTCTTTCCTTTCTTTTTTCTTTTTTTTTTTCTTTTCTTTTTCTTTTTTTTAAATTCTTGTCCTTTCTCGACGATCTTTCGTGAAAACAATTTCGGCCTTTGGATTCACTACGTCACTTTTAATTTCTAATTAATTCACTCGTGAATTTATTTAATATTCTCCGACTTTTCTTTTTTTCCCTTTTTTCTTTTTCCTTATTTTTTTCCTTCCTTATCTCATTCCGTTTATTAACTAACGTCGATTACGTCGAATACCGCTGTAAGTGTCTACTAACGTAGAAACATTTCTATTTTACTTCTAACATTTCTGTATACTCCACGAAGTTGAGTACTATTGAATGATTGCTATCTTCTCTCTCTCTCTCTCTCTCTCTCTCTCTCTCTCTCTCTCTCTCTCTCTCTCTCTCTCTCTCTCCCCCTCTTTGTCACTCTATCTTTCTCTTTCTTCTTCTATCGTGTTAGCAGAGCAATACACTCGTGAAAACAAAATTATTCATTATCAAAATTTCGATTTTAAATCGAGAGAATTTTTATATATATATATATATAGATATTTTTTTTTTATATCGATGTCATCGTTTTCGCCAAAAAAAAAAAAATTTGCCTTAAATCAAACACGAGAGAAAAAGTCAATTGAGTGGATCAAAAGATAAACAAAAAAAAAAAAAAAAAAAAAAGAAAGAAAAAAAAAAAAGAAAAAAGAAAAGGAATAAGAAAAAAAAAAGAGAGAAGCGTCGACACAATACGAAGTTAAATATTTGTTAATACCTTTTTGTTTGTGTTCTTTACTAATATCTTTTATCGGATGCTCGTACAGCCTCAAAAGAGAGAACAAAAATATGGATCGTGTCTTCGTGGAGATCGGACGATATGAATCATCACATTTCGAACGTTAAAATTTTAACGAACGATGTTGATTTAAAAATGCGAGCTCTACGAAAGCACAATCGTGTGTGTCTAAATATAATAATCTAATATTCTAAAAATATATATTTCAAACGACGCAAACTTTGTTAGCTATTCCATTTTTAACACACATTCTTCTTAGGATAATTTTTTCATTTTCACTTCCTCGTTTTCTCTATCGTTGGTTTTTCTATATATCTATTTCTTTTTTGTTTTTATCGACTATCGGACGTTTCGATCGTCCTGCAAAACAATTAGAAAGAGAGAGAGAGAAAAAAAAACAAAAAAGTTCTTTGATTATTTCTCTCTCTCTCTCTCTCTTTCTTTCTCTCTCTCTCTCTCTCCCTCCCTCTCACTTCTTCCTCATCTTCATCTTTATCTTCGTCTTTTTCGTCTACGTGTCTTTTTCTCCTTAATAAATTATACCGCGTCTGATTTTCCACTAATAACATTATTTATTTATTTATTTATTTATACAATCCTCGGCTAGCCCCTTTGGCAGTAAAACGATTTTGAGTTTTGTCGTGAGAATTACATATAAAGCAAATCTTCTTTTCTTCTTCTTTTTTTCTTTTTTTTTTTTTTTGGTTATCTTTCTTTTTTCTTTTTCACTTCTTCGTATCAAAATATACGATTAATAGATGTATTTTAGAAATTTTCTTGCGTTGTATCTTTTCTTTTTTTATTTTTTTATTTTTTTTTGTTTTTTTTTCTTTTTTCTTTTCTTTTTTTTATTCAGATATCCAAGGGTGCCGATGAATATATTTTAGTGTTTAGATCTCTTATTCTCTTCTATCAGAAGAGTTCTCTCGCCGTTTCTTTCATTAAACTAACTCGAAGGTCCCTATATATATATATATATATATATATATATATATATGTATATATATATATATATATATACATGTATGTCTATATGTTTGTCTTTGTTGATACGCGCGCCTCTTAACAATAAGTTAATGATAAAAGATCCGTATAATGTGTATGCGAGTGTATTCGTGTGCGTGTGTATGTTGTGTACGTAAAATCGAGGTCATAAGTAGAGGTTCGTTTTTTGTTTGTTTGTTTGTTTTTTTTTTCTTTTCTTTTCTTTTCTTTTCTTTATAAACTAATTATTTCTCACGGGGTAGCCCTCGCCATTTATGGCTGACAAGCTAGGCTACTTTTGTGCTCTATGTACAAGACATTTTTTCGTCTCTATCTATCTATCTATCTCTCTCACTCTCTCTTTCTCTCTCTCTCTCTCTCTCTCTCTCTCTCTCTCTTTTTCACTCTTTCTGTCTTCATGTGCATTCATTCATGTGTGGTGTCCGTCCCCACTTGTGTAAGTCCGTGTACATTAAATATGTTTTCCTCTTCTTCTTTATATATTAAGTGTGCTGCTCCGAGTATCAGCTCGTGTAAAATCGTTATCATTACTTTGTATAATTTGATGTATTCTAAGTAGTTGATGTGGCACAGTCAACGTTTTCAATGTTTTTGCGAAGCTACCGCGGCAACAAGCGCGGCACCACGACCACTTCCATCTTCTGAGAGCATTAAATCGAACTGTTGAAATAAATTTTTAACAATTACGATCTATATTACGATCTACACACATATATGTAATATAAATATAAATGTAAAATATAGAAACATATATAACATATATACACATATATTCATTATATTATTACTTTTATTATATTATGTTATATTTATTATACTTGTATTATATCATATTCAGTAACACATATATATATATATATATATATATTTTTTTCTTTTTATATTTTATATTATTATAAGATATATGTATATATTATTATTTTATTTCTTTTTTTTCACAGACTCACCCGACAACTCGTTAATTCACTGATCTTTGCCGTCATGAGATCGTGAAAGTGCGGATGAAATCTGTAAACCGAACCGTCGATACCAACGGTGACATGGTCTTCTTCCATTTTATTTAAAAGTGCAGCGATGCCAGCACTAGCAAGATGAGCTGCTCTCCTCGAAACGATCGAGCAAACGTACCTAACGTTCTCACAGTCCTGGTCAGAAACGTTACGCTGACCTAATTCCATTAAAATATCACGACAATTCGTGTATTTGCCTTTGGGATCACTGGAAGTATTAAATCATCATTAAAAAAAAAAAAAAAAAAAAAAAAAAAGAAAAAAAACGAAACGAGAAGATAGATAAATAGATAGATAGATAAAGAGAAAGAGAGACAGAGATCAAACTGACTTTTCTATTTCGGATACGTATTTTGTGAAGAATTTTCCACGCTTTTTGAGATCACTTGAACATTTGCCACCAAAGATTAGACCCTCGTTGACAAGCTTCTCAAGTACAAGCCTCGTCAGTTCGCCCATGTACATGCCCGATATCATTTTTTCAAATAATTGTTTTCCTGGATTGATCGAACTATTGTCGATCGAACGGTCAAATTCTGTAAGAACAAAGTCGAGAGTCCCATGTTCACCAAAAGCGCCCCATTCCGTGTTGATCAGCATATGTGACTTTTCCTGATCGTAATTTCCGGGGATCGCACACTCTACCTTCTTCGTTTTCTCTACGTAACAAGCATTGGTTCCTGTTCCTGTTTAAATGAGAAACAAAAAAAAAAAAAAAAAAAAAAAGAAAAAGGGAGAGAAAGAAAAAAATAATTTATCGAGGATTTGTCTCAAGGGATTTGATAATTTGAATATTTGAATTTGTTTTTTTTTTAAAACGTACCAACGATCAAGCCAATACGACAATTTCTATTCTTCCAAGCACAGGACATTAAGGTACCAGTAGTATCGTTCAAGATGGCACAAACATCAATCTTGACGTCCTGTAGAGTTTAAACATCCTGTAATTTTGTATAAAATTGTAACGACTGTAATCGAATTCTTGTTATGATCAAGAATCGTTGAAATAATCGCAATACGATGATATAAGGTGTTTCATATTTCAGATAGATTCGATGAACAACGTTAATTGACAAATGATGATGTAGAGAAAGAAAGGAAAAGGTAAAGAAGAAAATATCTAATAATATCGTACGTCTCTTTTTCTAATGGCTTCCTCCAATAAAGCGACTACGTCTTCGCCAATAACTCCGCTACAATTAAAGCCCTTTGTCCATCTTACAAGATACCCTTTTGTTAAACCATGCTGGGATAATGGAAAACTAAAGGTAAAACCGAGTGGTAATACTTCATCTTGTAGATTTAAATCTTTCACGAACAAGGCTAGACACTGTGCGATATGATCGAATAGTTGAGTACCAGTACCCAACATAAGACTCTGTGGTATTGCGTAGATTTTACTCTTCATGTCGAAGCTCATGCCGTCCAGTGTTATCAATAGAACACGAAAGTTGGTACCACCCAAATCCAATGCCAAAAAGTGACCTTTTTCTGTTAAATAAAAAAGAAAAAAAAAGAAAAGGGATATAACAATTGAACGTTGTTTTCCATCACATTTTTATTTGTAACTTGTTATTATTGTATTTTTTTTTTTCTTAGGTTATCATTGTACAACGAAAAGAGCCTGTTACCTGTGCCATTTGGAAGATCCTGTACGTATGTGGTAAAACATTTCACAATGGCATCATCGTGACCAGACTTTGAGAGCCCTTTATTAATCTCTTCCAAGAGCCTTGCCATAACCATTTTGAGTTGATCGTTGGAGAGAACCAGGTCCTTGCAGGCATCTCGTATCTTAGATAAGAAAACAGCAAAGTTAAATACAACATTCTAATTAGCTCATTATTTACAGATGAACGAATCAACATTCGACGATTAATATTCTTCAAACGACCTTCGACGAATTTTTCTATTATCCATTATTATTTTTACTAGAAAGATCTCTCCTCTACTCGAGAAAAAAAGAAATATGAAATATCCTATTGCGTAATTCTGCTTCGTCATGGTTATTTATAACGAAAGTAACGAAGAGCGATTTACCTTTTCAATCGTTCGACCAATACAGAATATTTTTGGATATGCTCGAGACGACTTTTTCATTGATATAAAATTTCGAAGTTTAAGTACGAGTTTAATGCGTTAATTAATTCATCGGAATGAATTTTATATAAATATGTATCCAATGTTCGAGCGAATAATTCACCATATTATGGAATATTTCGATATAACGTCAAATCATTAACAGGTGTCTCGAGTAATATTATCAAAATTGTTCAGATAGAAAATTTTACAATTGAAAATTTCATTCGATGTGATCGAAATGATGATAAAATTTATTTCATTTTATTTATTTACTTATTTCTTTTATCGTTCATTTTTCGATTAAAATATTGAATATTTCTCATTTTAATCTCTCTTCCATTGGAAATATTTGAATCACGTGACATTTGGCGCGCTACTCCGGTCACGTGATACTCGCCGCAAATCTCAAATTTCCCGGGAAATCAAGACTTCCGGAGTCTTAACAACACCCTCCTTGGAGGGTTTAAACATCGATCTCTTTCTGACGTTGTTGGCACACCCTTGAGCCAGCCAATAAAACTGTTCATGAATGGGTTATACAGAGAAGGACGATACACGATATACTTTTGTCTCTCTTTCTTTCTCTCTCTCTCGAATACTATATAATACTTATACGCTCGTAGCTCAATACAACGTGTAAAGGCCAATGCACACATTAATTCGCATAATGAATGTGCGGCATAACGCTTTAGAATCATCCAGTTAAGGATCGATCATTATCATTGTCGCACGCAATTTACGTAAGATTAATCACGTTTAAACGATAAATGTCTCTATCTACGTCTCATATTAATTCATAGTTGACCGATAGAAAAGTTCATAAATTAAACAAGAACTTATATATATATATGAGTTCAATATCGCATGATTTTTTTTCTTTATCCAGAATACTTGTCATTGACATTAAGAAATGATAACGTGTTTCAAATCGCTCTTACGTCGTAACATAATATTTGATAATTTTATCATGACATTATATAGTTTTATGGTGACATTAGATGGAATACATTGACCCTCATAAATTCGAGTTACAACAAATTTAATGGGGTCATTGATAATCCAACCAAGAAATCGTGATAACAATTAAATAGATTGTATTAGTGACTTTCGTCGAGATACAAATATTTGTTTTTAATTAATTAATATGATATTAACCTTTATACATCTATTATTATAATCGTATTACTTTCCGTCAATGGACTTTGCTCGACGCAAAAGTTGTATTCGTCATTCAGAGATATTCTCGAATTTAGTTCCGATTAATAAATTCCTGTGGTTCTTCCAAAAAAAAAAAAAAAAAAAAAAAAAAAAAAAAACTTCAAAGACAGAATAAAACGTGCTATTTATTATTTATTACTTATGCAAAGCCGATAATCACTCCTTTTGATTATACGTTTCATTAAACAAATTCGATTTTTTTTTCATTCATTTAGGCACGATTATAATCGCTTATAATCTCGATTTAATACCATCTAATATTAAAGTTTAATAAACGATTATTTTCGATACTATTTCAGATATTTCACAATTCTTTTGAATTTTAATGTTTCGTACCAATATTTAAACGTGCATGTGCGTATGTGTTCATATCTACTTCGAACATTTTGACTAGGCCGATTTAAAATAAATAAAGTCACGATAATTCATAATTAATTTTGATTCAGTCTGATTTCCGATATCAGAATGGCTACACTTAAAAAAAAGAATTTTTTTTAATATTATTTTAACGTAACGTAAAAAATGTAATACGCAACATAAAGAATTCGGACTTTTCATAGAAATATTTAAAATGGTGATAATTGTAATAATGAATTTTTTTTGAAATTTCTTTATGGAGACGATAAATGGAATTTAATTAAAAATTGGAATTTATAAAATTTACCAAAGACCTTTATCTATTTTTAAGTTTGCTATATTAAAATTTATATATATATATATATATATAACTATACACATACGTACACACACAAAATATATTTCTATATATATTCACTTTCGTGCACGTGTATATATACATAAGAAGATGTAACAAATTTTGAAAAATTTATTTTTCAAAGTCAAATGAATGAATGAATTGATATAAAAATTTATATAAAAAAATAAAAAATTCACGACATGTATATATATATATATATATATATATATATATATATATCAAGCATTCCAACGCTTAACAAATTTATAACAAATTGTATATATAAATGGAAAATATAAAAAAAATTGTGTAACTATATTTAAAATAGTATTAGTAATTAACGTAACCAACATTGGCAGTGGGCATTGCGAAAAACACGAAGCCCTTGATTGGAATAGAACTTTTCTAGTCCTCGTTGCTTTTCAATTTACAATTTATAAACGATAATATTTATATGATCTTCAATAAAATCAATACGTTTAAATTATCCTTTGAGTATTATCATGACGATATATATATGACGATAAATTTTATTAATCAATATAATTTTATATTCATAGATGATATATATTCAACTACGTTAAATACTAAACAAATCAGGTAGAATTAAAATAGTTCTATTTCATTCACCAAAAAGGTCCAAATTATGCGTACGAATTGAGAAAATTTCCACGCTCTTGTCGATGGACTTAGCCAAAAGGATTATGTAATCGTTACCGTCGTAATTGTCGTCGTCAAAAAGAATTCATTGTTAATTGTTCGGCCTTCGAGTACCGAATCATCGCACCTAACAAGAAAGAAGAACGACGAGTGTATGAATATACATATTCAACCGATATAACACGTTTTGCTTCTAATAACAATAACAATAACAATAACAATCATAGATAGAGAGAGAGAGAGAGAGAGAGAGAGAGAGAGAGAGAGAGAGAGAGATAAAAGAATGACGTGTAAGGAATGACTTTAAAAGAACGACTCCGAAAATGATAAGTTTAAATAACAAGTATGTCAGTTTTAATGACTTTAACATCTGAATATTTACATTTTTTCGTTTTTCTTTCTCTTTTTTTTTTTTTTTTTTTTTTTTTTTCTTTTTTTTTTTTTTTTTTTTTGAATCAATAACAGATATTAACTCGAAAATATCATAATCGACATTTATGCTTCCTCGTCGATTTTTCTAGAGAAGATTCACGATGATAAAGAAGAATAATTAAGATTTCTGCGTAATAAACCGAGGAATGTGAATGAGTGAGAGAGAGAGAGAGAGAGAGAGAGAGAGAAAAATAAAGAAAAAAAAAGAGAGAAAAAGATAGAGAACAGTTGGTTATATCCCAACGTGCCAACATACCAAATGTGTGTGTTCTCTTTATCGATTGTCTCTCCTTCATCTCTCTCTCTCTCTCTCTCTCTCTCTATCTTTCTTTCCCTTTTTTCACACAACCACATTATTTCTCTCTCTCTCTCTCTCTCTCTCTCTCTCTCTTTCTCTCTTTTTCTCTTTCTATCACACTCTCTATATCTTCCTTTCTAACTCCTCACCTCTTGCTGGATCGGGTCGTTGGAAGATAAGGTGGAAGTCTTCATAGCTCTCCCTTCGTCGCCCAAGGACGAGCTACCCTCGAGGAACTTCGTGTTTGCCGATTTAATGTAAAACGATTTAAATATTAATAACAATCTTCCGCCGTTGCTTTTGATCTTGACGAGATGATTATTAATGCCGACAGACGACCAATATTTAATGTCTTTCTTATTCTATCTTTCACTTCGTCGATGGAACGATGACGATGAAAAATTTTAACGAAGAAATTTGAAAAACGAACTACTTGTATATACGTACGATCCGAAATGAGGGAGAGGGGGGAGCAAAAAAAAAAGGGATTTGAAAAATTCTCTCGACACTTTTTCTTTTTTTTTTTTTTTTTTTTTTTTTTTTTCGTTGTCCCCTTGCTTTCTCTTGACTCTGCCTTCTCTCTATCTCTCTCTCTCTATATATATATATATTTATTTATTTATATATATATATATAGATATATATATATATAGATATATATATATATAAATCTATCTCTCTCTCTCTCCCTCTCTCTCTCTCTTTCTCTATCTATCTCTTTTTATTCTAGAATGATATACACGTAATTCGGACGTACGTATGTCAGACCGAACGAGTTCGACACTTCTTCTAATACTTGAACGCACCCAACGAGTTTTATATATTGGCACTACTGCTACTGAAGCAACTGTGATCCATACGCGCACCTACAGTGCCAATGGACAACCTTCCTATGAGCGGGAAGAGTGGGGTGTGTCTCATTGGTGGGGGCTGAAAGGGTGGGGGTACCGATAACTTCACTGACGGCGTAATAATTTTCAAATCTCGCGCCTTCCGGGAAATACATCAGGGCGCCAGATCATTTTTCTTAGTATCGATAAAAATTGTGACCGTCTCTCTCTTTCTCTCTCTCTCTCCCTCTCTCTCTTTCTTCTCTCTCTTGTCTCTTTCTCTTTGTTTTTTTGTTTTGTTTTGTTTTTTTTTTTTTTTTAATTTCCGTCCATAACACGTAATACACCGGATAATTATTAATTCCTTTGATTGTCATTTCCTTCTCGATATGTATCATCGTTTTATCGAGTAATAATCTTATTTTTGTTTTTTTTTTTAAACACAGGATCGTATTTAATGAATGAAAAAGATAATACGTTCGATAAAGATCTTAAAATTAGATCGTTCAGTATACCATCGTGATTATAATTAAATCACTATTACTCTAAAGTAAAAGTAATAAATCATTATTTAATCTGTTTTATATTCTTTTTCTTTCTTTCTCTCTCTCTCTCTCTCTCTCTCTCTCTCTCTCTCTCTCTCTCTCTCTTTCTACTTGTTTCAATTATCGTCGAATTATTTTCGATTCTAACGATGTAAATACGTTCATCGGTGTAAGTGAGGATTTAATTCATGATTTACATGTATATCGAGGCTTATCATTTTTTGTTTTATTTTTTTTTTGTTTTTTTTTTGTTTTGTTTTTTTTTCCTTCTTTGGAATCTCGAACAGACATACCATACGATAACGAGATCTTTTAATATCAATCATAGTTATATATTTAATTACAATTGATCACAATTAACGAGATAATTAATTTTTCAATATTTCATTCACTTTGATCCGATTTATCGTTGAATTGTTTTTTAACGTGATATCGTAAATTCTTCTCAACGTATATAATACGTATGACGTATGTAATATTCATGATCTATATACTGAGACGTATAATCATCTTTGTTTTCTTCTCTTTTTTTTTTTTTTTCTTTTTTTGTTTGCCCTTCCCCCTCCCATTAAGATGTTAAACATCGGGCACACAATATGGAAAGAAACGTTTCGGCCCTGCGAACTATGGCCCATTTGGAGGTGGTTTAAACTTGGTAAAGAAATGTGGGGAGAATTTCCCCTACCTAGAACAGGCCGTTAACCGTAGCGGTATCGGTGAATGTACTTCGTTTGAGGAGAAACGAAATGCCACTGACTTGTCCTTCAAAAGGACAAAAAGGTTATCTTCCTTTCTGTATTAAGAATTTCTTTGGAATTATTTATTACATCGTAGGTCCTTCGTTATAACGTTAGATCGCACTAATATTTTATGAAGACGCGCCAATTTTATTATTCATTCTCGATTACAAAATTTCTCGTGCGATGTACCTACATTAAAATCGATAATGCCGAATGTGAAATGTAAAATATTTCTCAAATTTGAACGTGAGTTTCATCATTAGGGATAATGACGAGAAGCGATATACGAGATATGAAAGATAATATAAATGATGAAAATTTTCATAACGATCGATTGTATCGTTAAGATAAGAAATTGTCGGCGAGAAAGCGCGGGAAATTTGAAATCGTCGAGTAATCCAATTTCATTCTATTACATATGATCACCTCGAGGGACATTTCCTTTTTTCTTCTTTCTTTTTTTTTTTTTTTTCTTTTTTCTTTTTTTCTTTAAAGATCGTTCAAGAATTTTCAATAGCGTTCGAATCTTTAACAGTCAGAACTTCCGGCATTTCTATGTATCTATATATATATGTATATATTTATAAGCAGACATTAAGATATAAATAATGAGATGAAATGCGTTCAAGGAGCGTTATACGACAATATGTTAATATATTATCACCCTGAGGCTATTATTTTCTATAGAATCATGCAATGTAGTAGTCGATCGCATGATGCAATCGAAGTAATTTGCTTAAAACTATGTCGCTTCTACGTATATGTACATACATACATATATATATATATATATATATATATATATATATATATATATACATTCGTATAGATACGTAATACATATTATTAACAACAAATATTATTTTATTTCGAAGGGAAAGTAAGCAGTGAAATTTCATTTAAGATCGTTTTACGAAAGATTGTGATACTTTTCTTTTTCTTTTCCTTTTTCTTTTTTCTTTTCTTTTTTTTTTTTTTTTTTTTACATAAAAAAACGATTAGAACGAGTTTCCCGTTTGAATGACGTTGCAATGATGAAACATACAAACGTGATGTGATTTCCAAAGATGACGCAACTACATCTTCGTTGGTTATTATATATATAGTTGTTATAGACGAGGGAGTGAAAGTCGCCTTCTGATTGGTCATTCCCGAGGGCTCGAACGGTCGATCCCTCGTCGTCATTGTGAACGACGTAGTAGGCGTTCGACTTATTCACGTACGTCTACTAACCCTTCTCAGTTGGCTTACGAGCGCTTACTTTTCTGGCATCTTGTATTCAAGGTCGTGGAAGAAAAAAGATAACGTGTGTGTGTGTGGGTGAGGAGAGAGAGAGAGTGAGAGGGGGGAGAGAGAAGTGAAAGATAGAAAAAGAGAGAGAGAGAGAGAGAAAATATGTGAACCCGCAGATGTATGTGTGCGCGCGTGTGTGTGTGGGTCGTTTTCAATGGAATTCTTCGAAACGTCCTCTGTAAAATACGAACAAGCAAATGAAAATGGCCGCTCAAGTTGACAAGGTGCGCGCGCACACATAGAGGCGCTTTGTCGGAATCTTCTCTTCATAAATGTACATAAGTAACATTTGATTTAAATCCCAGTTTATGAACTAATTTGTAATATTTAAAAAAAAAAATCTTACGATATTTATATAAATAATAATAATAATAATAATAAATTTTATTCAGAATTTCCTTATTTTATTGAAAAAATAATATAGAAAAATAATGTTTTATCGAATAATTCGTAAGAAATTATATTTAATTTACACTGTTCCTCATTAATACGGTAAATAAATTTTCGATATTTCATTAGAGATTTATTATGTTTATACGTGTCAGATATATTCTCTTAAATGTTCTTTAGCTTTATCGTGAAGTCGGATGCAAAAATGGCGCTATTTACGAAATTTCATCGAATTAATCATAAGAAATTATATTTGATTTATATTTTTCTTTAATATGATAAATGTGTTTGACATTCATTTCCATTAGAAACTTATGGCGTTTATATTAGACATAGTATATGTATTTTTTAATAAGATATTTTATATATAAAAAAATGTCATCTAATATGAAACTTTATCGTATTGTTAATGACACATGCATATATTAGATAATAGATTTACGTTTTTCTTCAATATCGTAAATTAATTAATAGATTTATTGAATTTATCGGGAAATAAAATGGAAAATATAGTACCAATTAGAAAATCTTATCGGATTATTCGAAAGACATCGTCGCAATTCTAAAGGATATCAGAATACATTTTTTATGTGAGACTGATAACTTACGTTTACGAAGCAATCATACGAGTATTAAGATATCTGATATATACACGCATAAGTACAGAGACACCGTGTATACATGTATATGTGTTAATATTTTAAATCGACTTTTACAGAGACAATTGATATTCTTAAATGCATCATCGACGAAGTCGATAAGTTAAATGATATCGTGAATGTTTACTGATAAGATAATGTATGTATGCGTTCCTAGAAAGAGAGAAAGAGAGAAAGAGAGAGAGAAAATAATATCATCTGACATTTGCAACCGTAGATTAATATTTCAATCAAACTTCCCTATCGAATTTTTCAGCTTCTCTATCTAATTCGGTGTCACTCGAAAGTCATAAAGATTGAAAAAAGGATCTCTGCTCTCTAGTAATAAATTCAATTGAGTTAATTCACGCCGATAAATTTTTCACTCAAGTAATTCAGTTTTCATTAATACCTTTCGTGAAAGTTAATTTACAAGAGCATTAAACAGTCGCGAGCATATAAGTAAGAAAGAGATACGTGATATAGCTAAAAGAGAAACGTGCTTTCGTTCACGTATACATGTGCTACATGTTTAGAGGTAACATTTAAGTCTATCACTTTTATACGTGACGCGTCAGATTTAAAACCGACAATGCATATAAATATGCGCGTCTCGTTCTAAAAAATTTTCTTACCAAGTTAATGAAATAAGTTCTAAGAAATTTCTTTTTTATCATGATTATTTCAATGCTCTGTTGCAATTTTTTTTTCCTTTTCTTTTTTTCTTTTCTTTTTTTCTTTTTTTCTTTTTTTCTTTTTTTTTTTTCTTTTTACATTATTTATAAATCTCTCCTACGTCGATGTTCTTCGAAGATAATTCTTTATCTTTTCATTTACATCTTTTCATCTTTTATTTTTTAGATCTTTTATTTTTTATTTACATTAACGTCTTCCATTTTCATTTTACTATATTTCCGATCAATATACAATCCCTGAATGAACGAAATGAATCTATGAAAATTAAAGTATTGTAAATGAAATTTAAAATTACTTCTTATTCGATCTGTAAAAAATTGTTTCATATTTTGTATAAAGAAAAAAACATAGTCTAATTGTTGCTTTTATTGTATAAAATTTTCATCGACTATTTCATTTAATTTTATTATCGGTATCGGTTAAAATATCTAATTTACTCCCGTACAATATATTGTAA